GTAGATAGAGTCGCCCCCCTCGGGAAAATCCACGTATCCCTCATTTTATCGGTCAAACTTTCATAGCGAATCAACACAAACATAGTGTAGTTCTAGAATTTCAACTAGAATGGGGTACGTTAATAGATTTGACCAATAGGCTAGTCAAGTAGTGAGCCAATTTAAAATCGTTATAGAGATTTTAGTCATTAGTTAACGATACGAACAGTTTTCTTTTAAACGTTTACCAACTTTTCGCGTCGGAAGTTGGGACGAAATCGCTCAAAGAGCAAGCAACGGATTGAAGATCCCGGTGAAGGAAGCTCGGGTGGAGTGCCTATTTGAAATAGGTTTGCCACTCTACCCACCGAAGGAACGAACGCCCAGACAGCGGCAACGAACAAGCGAAGTAAGAGGAGGAGGAGAAACTGTCAGTCTGATGGTACGAGTCGCGATTATGTTACCGCGACGAACGTCGCAGTGACATCGGTGAATTCAGTGTCACCAAAGAAAATTCCAACCAGAGTGCTACAAAAGTGAAGCTACCACGACTGGAGGTAAACAATGCATCCCTCAACACGCTAATCGCTAGCTTCGCGTCGATGGGCGTCAAAGCTGAGTACCAACTCAGTGGAATCGGCACCAAGCAGATGCTCCACACGAGAGCGGAATACAACCTGAAGAATTCCAAGGCGGAATTCTTCACCCACGATATTCCCGGTGAGAAGCCCTTCAAGGTGGTCATCCGAGGTCTACCGAGCTACGACCCAAAGTTCACCTCGGATCAAATCAAGGGCCAGTACAAGCAACAATCAATACGAAACTATCGATTTTAAATTGGCTCACTACTTGACTAGCCTATTGGTCCCAAGCAAATCGATTGACGTACCCCATTCTAGTCGAAATTCTAGTACTACACAATGTTTGTTTTGATTCGCTATGAAAGTTTGACAGATAAAATGAGGGGTTCGTGGATTTTCCTATGTTTCGAGGGGTGCATCGATTAGCTTGGGACCGAAGAGAGTACCAGAGCTTAGCCAAAAAGTTGAGCTCGTTTCTTCGGGACCTTCTGGTCTTAGAGTTACCTCTATGGTACAAGCTGGTCCCAACTGCCGTCTACTGGATCCGCTCCATCAACTCCATTATTCAGGCACGGCATCCGAAACTGTCACATCAAGCCACGGTGTGGCAAATGCACACAAAACAACGTTACCTCTGAGTGTGTCGTCGATGAGGCGGAAGTGCCCCAAACGTGAGAATTTCAGGCGGATCCGAAAGCAGGCGTCCACAAGAAATCAACCAGGACGAAAAAAGGAAAACTCTCCGGCATTCAGGGTCGAGGACTTCCAGCCTCTTCATGCTACGCAGCACGGTCAAGCAAATCCACGGGTGCAATCCGGCCCCCCGTCAAGAATCGTTTGGTGCCTCAGCTGGACAAAGCTCTCCATCCTCCTCTGGATTCTGGAGACAACCACCTTCTCTGCGGATGAGCTGATGAAGATTTTCGCCGACATGACCAGCGCTCTTCGTCAGTGCCGCAACAAGCCCGAACAGATCCAAGTGCTCGGTAAGTTTATCATTCAGTATAGCATCTAAACCGTTAACTTGCTCGGTACGAGTTAAAAAGTTCGAACTTGCTGACTTCCTCCGCAAGCACAATATCGACGTGGGCCTTCTAACAGAGACCCATCTCAAATCCGGCGACAGCTTTTGGTTGCCTGATCACAACATTATCCGACTTGATCGCACCGACTCCAGGAGGGTCGGGACCAAGAAGGGGATCATGTTTCACACCCTGCCCCACATCCGAACTTCTATCATCGAGGACCTTACTGTGGAGGTGGAATTGCCAACCGGAAACGTCCGGTTCATAGCCGTGTATTGTCCTCGCCAGTGTGCTGCCAGGAACCTCACCGCTATCGCTCACACGAGCTCCCGATTAATTGTTGTGGGCGATCTCAATGCTCGTCACGAAGCATGGCGCAACTGCCAACGGAACCAGAACGGTAGTCTACTATTCAACCACTCGCAGCATGGACTGCATTCAGTGCAATTTCCCGATGAACCGACACTCCTCTCTCCGGCGGGAAACCCTCCCACGCTGGACTTCTTCTTGACGAACTTCGGGCTATCCAAGCCGGTGGTAATCAACGATTTAAGCTCCGACCACCAACCGGTGGTGGCTGAACTGGGCTACAACGTAGCCCCTGCTCCAAGCCTGCGCAAGGACTACCATTGGACGCATGGTAGACAAGGACATCATCGACAACCCGCCGCTTGACTCCGTGGAATACATCGACCGAGCGTTGGAGGGACTCCACCAAGCCATAACCGTGGCTGACGAGGCGTGCGTCCGACGAGTTCCTGTGAGGGGTAAGTTTATTGCCATTGATTCCCACACCCAACTCTTGATTCGCCTGAGAAATGTTCGTAGACGCCAGTTCCAGAGAACCGGAGATCTAGCGAGGAAACGTGAAATGGTCAAGGAGATTGCTTCCAGAATGGTCTCACTCCGGAACGAAAGTTTCGGGCCTGTCGTCCAGAATCTGGACGACCGCTCCAGACCTTTTTGGAAAGCTGCCAAGGTCCTAAAGACACACTCCAAACCCATTCCACCACTCAAAGATGAATTTGATGACGATCGGCTCATAATCGACCAAATCGCACTTGCTTGGCTTCAACATCCAAAGTCCACTCGAAGTTCAGGTTGAGCAATGCGTACTCAACCTTGATTCCTCCCCTTGTGCTATCCCTCCGGAGGATAGAATCACAGTGGAACAGATTTGCTCAGCGCTGAAATGCACCAAAAACATGAACGCCCCCGGGTTCGACGGATTATTCAACTTCTAGTGTTGAAAAATCTCAGCCTGAAGGTTCACTCTCTGCTGGCTGCTGTCTTCAACAGATGCTTGGAACTGCACTACGTTCCAAGTATCTGGCAGACAACGACGGGAAGGACCCAACGCTAGCTTCAAGCTACAGACCGATCAGCTGAGCAAATTGTTCGAGAAACTTATTCTCAATCGTTTGCTCAAGTTTGTCGAGGAACACAACATTCTCCTACCGGAACAGTTCGGGTCTAGGATGGGGCACTTCACAAGTCATCAGCTAGTACGGGTGATGAATAACATCCGAAGTAACAAAGCTGTATCCAAGTCCACAGCCATGGCATTGTTAGACGTTGAGAAAGCATTTGAAAATGTCTGGCACAACGGACTTGTGTACAAGCTTTGTAACTTCAACTTTCCTTTACATCCGGTTAAAATCACCCGTAACTACCTTCAGCAAAGGTCGTCCAGGGTATCGTTGAATGGCTGCCTTTCAAACACGTTCTCCATCCCAGCAGGTGTTCCGCAAGGAAGTCTGTTGGGCCCTCTGCTTTACAGCATCTACACTTCTGACATTCCTCCCCTCGGAGACGGTTGCGTGTTCTTCCAGTTCGCAGATGATACCGCAATAACCGTCACGGGTAGGATGCCTCGCGAAATAACAAACAACCTCCAACGATGTCTTGACGCATTTGCTGATTATGCCACCAAGTGGAAAATTAAAATCAATGCCTCCAAAACACAAACAATAATGTTCCTCCATCGGCAATCACCCAAACTAAAACTGGTTCCCTCTTGTACTATAATCATGGATGGCACAAGAGTTGAGTGGTCCGCCGAAGTAAGCCATCTCGGGATGTTGTTTGACGAAAAGCTCCTATTCCGCTCGCATGTGGAGAAAACCGTAGTCAAGTGTTCCGCCTTGGTTAGGCGTCTGTATCCGCTGATTTGCCGCAGATCTCGCCTCTCAAGGGTAAACAAACTGGCTGTCTACAATCAAATAATAGCACCTGCGATCCTCTACGCAGCTCCGGTGTGGGAATCACGTGCACAGATTCACAGGAACAAAATCCAGGTCGCTCAGAACAGAGTGCCTCCTGAACATGGTATAGTGGTCAGCTATTAATTTAGACAAGGAAATTTTAACAGGACATTCCACACCTTTGTGCCCGAAATGACCACATTCGAACCACTTGAAACCAAACTTCTTCCCAGCGAAAGCCGACTCACCAGAGTCTTCCTCCACGTGGCTCGATTGATTCGCACGGAATGCAGACTCGTCCATAAGCCGCTTCTTGACGTACACCAGGTCAGTTTGGATAGTCTCGAAAGGCGGGATTCACGCATCATAGGATTTTGGTAGTGACAACAAAAGCTGGCAAAGGACATCCTTCTTCTCCATTTTCACTCCGGCAGCCTTCAAGGAGACCGCCAACTCTTCCATGTTCTCATACGTCCGGTATGACACAGGCAGCATCGCGTCATCTGCGCTCAAAGGTAAATTCTCCGAACGAATTGGATAGCAAAAGTCCCACCCTAAGAATACAGGTTTGTATATTTGCTCATTTTTCTCTGCGTTGCTTCCACCTTCGCTCGAGCGCAGCGCAACTGTGCCTGTCGCTTGAATTCAGCCAAAGTTGCCAGTCTTCTTGATACATTGTCTTCGCTAAAATTCAAGCGTTTCAATATTATAAAAATTAGTATGCAACAAACGTAAATTGTATCACCAGCCAAAACACATGTCCGACGCCTCCCCCGAATCACGATGCATCCCCTGCCAGACACGTCATTATGCGTAATTCATTTTTATGACTCCTTTATCCACATCACCATCCGAACCCAAACTTTACAATGCTTGCGTTGGGTTTTTTTTTTTTCGTTGGTGCTGAATTCAAATCGGACGTCCCGCGCACTTCCGCCCCCAAAAATATAAGACAATCAAGTCGTTTCTCATACCTGCCACAGGCTGGCCGGTCGTCGATTGATTGTCAAGTGTTGTCAGTTGTTGACGGGAGGCGGTGACGCTAATGAAATTCAAAAATGTCGCTTTCGGCGCGGTGCTGTTTTTCTTCCACTCACTTGGCGGGGTAATTACAGTTGCGACGACGCTTGTATGTACAACTCCCACGCTCGCGACAATTGAGATTCACAGCGGATCATGAAGATTTTCGGCTTTGGTTACCCCCTGCAGTCAGGATTGAAGCTCCGTCGTTGAAGGTTTTCGGGTCGAAAGGATGTTCGTCGGTGGTACTTTTGGCGCAATGATTCTCAGTTTCCTACTGTTCAGTTCCATCTGGGGAGCGATGCAGGAGCGTCGGAAGGAGAGCAACAAGTATGACATTAGTTTCTACGACACGAAGACGAACCGAACGTTCAGCTATCCAGTGGTGAGTTTTGCGAAGCCTGGTGCTCCGGAGGATGCCGGCGATCGGCCCCGGCAGGAAGTCTACGGGAACCAGTGCCAGTGTCAGAATTTGCAGTGTGGTTGCTGCATGGGGATGAAGATCGATCAGCTCAAGTTCAATCAGCACAGTGAGTGTCTCGGAATCAAGTGTATTCCATTTCTAACAATTGGTGTCCTTTCCCGTAGTTTGCACAAACCTGGAATACGATCCGTACGAGTTTGCCGTCAACGTGGACGTCCTGATGAATGGTAGCAGCATTTACCAGAACACCATGTCGGCGAAGAACCCACCGCCCTTCTGTCTACCAGTGCCGATTCCATACATCCCACTGAACGCCGACCTGTGCCTGCGGCTGTTCGACATCTACACTCCGAAACGCAACCTGCACGCTTGTATGGACGTCGAGGCACGCGTTTGGCGCTACCCGTTGCTAATCCTCCACTTTGACTGCATGCGAATGGGACAGGATGGCTTCACGCTGCTCAAACCGGAAGACGGCGATGGCTTCGAGGTGTTCTACCCAGAAACGAACACCGAACAATCCTCAGTCGATGTCTACGACGAGGTGGAAGACATCAAAAAGGGACAATCGAATCGAAAGCAATAAACCACATTTTTACAATCAATTATAATGGACATGCTAATTTCTCGCACAAAACTTTAAATCAACCAACAAAATTCCGCCAGTTCACGCTGACCTGGCAGAATACCTCTCACTTCTTCTTCTCATCCTGCTTGGTGTAGGTCATCCCGACACCCACGATCAGCGCCAGCACGGTGAAACCTTGTGCAAAGATTCGAGCCCTCATCATGTACTGAGACATCTGTCGGCGGCCCTGGCGGAAACTCCACAGCCCATACCCGAGTGCACCGAGCGTCGCGGCGCATCCGATCGGTACAAGCGGGTTCTCCTTTAGCTTCCGTTCCATCTTCTCGCGAGTCGTTTCCGCGTGGATATCCGCATAGTCCTTGCGCATTTGAATCCACTCAAGTTCGGCTTGCTGCTGGGCCGTCGGTGCCGGTGCGCTGCTCATGATGTTTCAAAAGAGTCCTAAAAATAATCAAACTTTCATTACGTCAGCTCTTTTTGCCCCGCACTCCCCCTTAGAAAGCTGCTGTTGTGAAATTCTAATTCTCGATAGCACAGGCAATAAACGATTCAAAACTCACCTGATTTCTACTAGAACGCAGATAAGTATTAGTCGAGAACGAGAAATGCGGTTTCTATTGAGGTAGTAATTATTTTTCCCGAACAAAATTAACAACTTCGCATTATATTATTTTTTTCACTGTCGGCTTTTGTACGGCCACAACACTTTTACATCACAAAACTCAGCTGCAGAAAGAGCAAAAACAAACACACACTACTGCTGCGAAATTGAATTGAGCGAGAAACGTCAAAACAAAGCAAAAACCGGGGAGAACTTTTTAATCACGGAGCTTTCAATTTACGCCCACCCGCGAAGTCGGTACTCTGAACACGGAGAAAAAATTGTTTGAAATTACATCCTAACAGCTACACACTTAATTCAGATCACCGAAATCGGTAGAATTTTACCGGGTTTTTGAACAGCAGAACAAGTTGGTAAAACTTTCAAATGACCGTTACACGGGAGAAATCAACAAAATTTATAATTTTCTTTAACTAAAAGGGGTTAACTAAAAAAAGTCTATACAAGTTCGGAAGGCATTTTCTAATTATGGCATTGTACACTGATTTTTAAACTTTTACCGAACAGCTCTGTAGTTCAATATTTACCGAACGGAGTAGGCCTGTGCAAGGTGACTATATATAGGTGTACTAATGTGTCAAATTCATGATTCAGCCATGTTGGATTTTTGTATGGGACAGTGCCCGAGTTTGTTTACAATTTGCTCTAAAACCGCACTTTTCCCCCCCGCGACCTCCTCGCCTATATAGTGACAAAGCTGTAACACCATTTATATACCCACCATGGGCCTGTGTACCTCATTCCGCACGCTAAGACAGTGTGGCATCCGGGGTAATTAATAGTTTTGGGGGGCCCAACTCGCTTCCAGCGAGTCAGCCCCAGATGAAACTTCACCGATAACTTATCGGTACGTGGATGTGATATCTTTGTACAACTGGACACAACCGATGTTGGAGTTAGAATGCCTGTCTTTATTTCTATGCATAGTAACCAGCTACCTGACTTGAAACATGCTGACGAGGAGTCATTTTTAGTTGAACAATTTACGGTGAGACACGATGGAGGCAATCGTTCCCATACTTGCTGGTTATGCCAAAATGCTGACTTAAGCAGACACTGAAGTAGCGTTGCTTAATGTGTCTATGTTAAATTTTGATGGAAGCATGTAGGTACACTACAACAGGAATACCTAAAAGTCAGAAAAAATAACGATAATCGAACAAAAATGCACATACCTAAATTATCGGTACACTCACAATATTTTCAAATCTAAATAGATTAAAAGTTACGCTAAATTGCAACTCTCCTAACCATAATGGCGCCGGTGGTGTAGTGGTAAGCGTGATTACCTCTCACCCCAGCAGGCCTGGGTTCAATCCCAGTCGGCGCCGCCGGGATGTTCTGAGGCATAACATCTCTGATCACGCCTTCCTTCGGATGGGAAGTAAAGCCGTTGGTCCCCGGTTCATGAGTTGATGGGTCGATAGGTAGGGTCCAGGTGTGGGAGCTGCCTTCCTGGTACGTCGGTAGCATTGGTGCTCAGCACGGAAAACAAGATCGACGGAAAAAACAAACCAAAGGAAAAAACTCTCCTAACCGAAGCATAGCTTGGTATAAAGAGAGAGAAAACACACTTAGTATAAAAATGCTTTATACGAAGGCAAGTATAAATCCCTGTTATGTGTAATTTGTATAGTTTGCATTTATGCTTACGCTGTTTAATTTGAATGGGGACGATATTGATTTTGAGTGTTTTTGTTTGTTTTTAAAATATCGCATTTCAACCAATCAACCAAACTCAATCTTTATTACATGTTTGAAAAACAATACAATATATTACAACAGGAGATCTGCTAAGAAATCCACGAACCAAACACTTCCGGAACACGTTGCAGTGAAGGATTTAGTCGTGAAATCAATTTATCGTCTCATTATGCCAACAATCTCTTCCCATTTGTTAACATCACAATCTTCCGGTACTCGTTGTACGCATTGATGTACATCCGGGCTGCAGATTTCCAGCATCTAGGCCATAACGTTCTTATTGGTTTGCAGCCCATGACAATCCCACCCGAACCTGCGCTACACATGGTGCCTTTGCTGGTGGACATATCGGATCACAATATCCCTCGCCGTTCCGGTTGAATATGGCGTAACAAGACAACCCGTTCTGGTTTATCTATTTCGAAGATAGAAAATTTCCATTTAATGGTTTATAAATTGCACAATTGTAAAATAGAGAGTTGCATCCAGAAATTAGGTTAAAGCAGGGCTTAAATCTACTCACCTTAACTTCGTTGGATTGATTCAGAAAGTCTAAAAGACATTTTCTTATTTCCAATAGTCCAGAACATTTTCTTCCTTGTTTGGAATGCTGATGGTCTCCGGCAATTCAGCAAAGCACAGAAAATATTCCTCTGCTAGTATTAATATTTAGTATAAAATTAAAATCTACATTAGATTACTTTTTATACATAGTGATGGGTAAAAAGCCTCTAATCGAAAAATGTATAAATTTTATACATTCTGTGTTTAATAATATTTTTGAGTGTAAACATAGATTACCTAAAATTAGGTATTGATGGTTGAGAATCGTAAACGTTTAAAATTACCTATTTTTAAACGTTACTTTTCACCGAAAATTACGTTTTTCTTTTCTTTCTGTTTAATAGGTTTTAGCAATGCTATCGCAAGCGCAGCGCTGCAGCAGATGCAATTTTAAGATTATTTTTTTTTGGATTTGATGGTATATTATGTACCCACTCACAATTATAGAAACACAAAATCGTTGCAGAATATCTTTATCTTTTTTGCAAATTGCGCCGCCAATTTACAGTTCATTGCGTGCCAACGCTACTGTTTTTCCGAAGCTTGTTGGTGGCTGCCTCTAATCGACCACTCCGAGGACTAATCTGCTTTTGGAATTTGACTGGTTTCCTCAAACGTTTGATAGCTCGAGCGCTCGAGTACCTTTCCGCAACTCAGCAGAAGCGGGAGGAAGCAGAGAAGATGCCAGCTAGATGGACGGGAGGGATGCTGATAACTAGAATAGGCAAAACAAACAATATATCGGTGTGATTTTGCTTGATCCGGTTTGTAATTCAAAATCAACAGTTGAAATGGCCTCATCTAGGGCCTTTTTGTTGCCTTTTTCCGTGAATCGGAGGTCGCCTACGTATACAAACAACGCTATCAAATAAGGGAAGCTTCAACAGGTGAGCTCCGATCCACGAGAAAATGCCGCAAGATGTTTTCTTTACAACAGCTGATGAGGTCTTTTCAATCTTTAATCTTAATTCATTAAACTCACGACTGTCGTTTGGTTTCCGCAAGCCGTCGAAAGCTCGAGTAACTTTCCGGAACGATTGCAGCAGGAGCAGGAACAAGTAGGTCACTTTAATGCGCACAAATTTCACCCAATTTTAGGTAAAAAGTAAAGTTAATATTTGAATACGCACTTTACTCATAATATTAGTAAAAAGTAACATAATTTATTCGTAAATTTTACATATATTCTGGGTATTAGTATCAATACCTAATTTTAGGTAATTTTAGGTTATTTTATCTAAGCGTGTAGGCTGTGAACCATTTGCCGAGTTAAATTTAACTCGTGCTTAAAATTGATATTTCGGAAGTTATTCTTGACGTTCGAAAATCCCTGTGCTGTCGATCGACAGGTTTTCGAGAAGAACTCAGCCACGGTTGTCAACATATAACTTCTTGTCTGTCAGAAATAACCACGCTCGGATAGCAGGGTTAATCAGGGTTTTTTTTCGCCACGAGCTGTCTTCGGGCGCGGACGCATTTGCATTTTGGTCCGCAAGTAATTTGTATATATATATATATTTTTTTTTTACACTTCGACAACGACGCGTGTGGGTCTCGCTGGCCATTTGTACCTTATAGTATCGCGTCGAATATTTAAAACATAAGCAGTTATGCCGTGCGGTGTAATATCATGCAGCATCAACGACGACCGCTTTCTATGGAAGTGCGAATTTTGCAACAAAAAATACCATGCTGCCTGTGTCGGAGTACAGCGACAACGGGAGCATTTCATCACGGCATTCATGGTGCCTATGTGTGCTGACTGCCAGCACATTTTACGGAAGGAAGCCGACGTGAGGAAGCTGCTTCATCAACAGGAGCAACTTGTGGAAGCAATCCACTCTCAAACGGACGCGAACCACCGCATTGCTGCTGACCTAAAAAAATTCTGCTTAGTATCAGAATTATTCGACAGCATTGACCACCTGCTAAATGACGTAAAAGAAACGTTGGCAGTAATAAATAAAAACAATAATAACATGTGCGCGCACGCGACAATAACCGGCATCAACGAATCAAATTCGTTGATGTCACAAAAAATTACAAAATTACTTGACGAACGGCTATCAAGCTTATCTAATGACATGGCACTTTCAATAAAAGGGGCCGAATCATCACCTCATCATCATCATCCAGAGCCGAAACTTCTGGAAATTCTTGAGGAAGTGAAATTTGTATCTGGGGCTGTTTCTAGTCTTCAGATAAATGCTGCAGAACCTCATCAGAAGACCTTGGAGGAAGAGTTAGCTGAAAGTCCTCCAGTACACAAAAATACAATATCTCCAAAAACTGACCATTCATCTCCTGGATGGCGGTTTTTAGGCAACAAATGGCACTGGAAGCAGGACTGGTCTAAATTTGACGCAAAACAACGGACTCGCAGGTTGCAGGAAAAAGCTGCTGAAAAATCCAAACGCAGCAGAAAACGACGAAAACAACAACAAATCCACACCAGCAGTACCAAAAACATCATCCAAGGAAATGAATACAGCCGCGCCAAGGGATCGGACAAGCAACTACTGGCCACAGCGAAAGTACAATTTGCTGGTCCGCCATTGACCACCGACCACCCAATTGCAGCCCTCTCGGTCCCAAAATTCATCAACTTCAGGAAGGGTGAAACCATCAACCAATACCGGACAGAAAAGCAGGTACAACACAACAACAAGACTGAAACGCCGTCATCATTGCAATCAAATACAAATACATCAAATCAAACATCTGGATGGTCACTCGACCCTATGCGCCCACCCATCGTAAGCTTGACGCAGCAATCAGCTGATGGGGACGGGCGTTTCCTGAAAGCACGACTACGGGACACAAAAATAATGTACATCGTTCGCCT